AGGAATCAACTAAGATGTGAGGTATAAGGTCAGTGAGCACACCATGGCTGGAACAGGCTAGATCAGAAGCAGAGGGCTTGAAAATCATAGGGCTGTTGCTCTAAGTCTCACAGAGAATTAGTCAGCTTTGGGTCTCTCAATATGCATAGGAGGAGAAAAAGGTGTACGATATGAATCTCAAGACAACCATATAGACGCTTGAAACTAGTAGCTTACATCTGTAGGTTTTCTGCTCTTATTATGGCTTTGCTAATAGTGTTCTGTGCACTTTTGGCGTATAGCCATGCTGGCCACATAACCACGGAAATTATCTTCAGAAAACACTGGTTCCCTCAGCCAAGAAATGGAGATGAGCACCATGCCTTAGAGTCGGACACGACTGACAGGGAAACCTTTACCTTTTCCTAGTATCTAATCAAGGTAGCTTATCAAGAGATCCTTGAATCTGAGTATCCACCCGGCCGAAGCCTCACAGTAACAGTGTGGTTATGTTGAGGATTTAATTGGTAAATTCTATATTATTGAATTACAAAAGTAATTAATTACAAAACACATTAAATTAATTAAATGTAATTATGTTTCTGTTTAATTAAATGTCAATGTTCCCCCATATTCTTTTTTTAAAAGTTATTTTATGTAGTCTAACTGCCAACCTGTCATTCAAAGGCTGGTGAGGCCTATACCTGACTGTCCTGAACTTATCAATTAATCTTCCTAAAAACACCATCATCATTCTTACTCTGCCTTACAACCCCTCCCCCTCCAAGTCCTGGTATGCCGTCTCATGGTGTATGTGTGTGTATGTTCCTCAGAGGGGTGATCAAAGTACACCCATACGATATGCCAAGAGTATATGTTCCCAGTATATATTCAAACCAAAGGTGTGAAGGTCCTCCCAGCTGCTCAGCCAAAGCAAGCAGGCACCTATACTGGGCAGCTGCCGTATGGGAAGGTTTTAGAGAAAGAGGATCACTTTAACAACAATGGCAAAGACATCTATCCATACTTCACTGGAGAAGGCAATATTAAACCACTCCTGTATTTTTATCAGGATTACCACATGCATAAATACAGGTAGTCCTTGACTTACAACTGTTCGTTTAGTGACCGTTCAAAGTTACAATGGCACTGAAAAATGTGACTTATGACCATTTTTCCACAGTTATGACCTTTGCAGCATCCCCATGGTCATGTGATCAAAATTCAGTTGCTTGGCAACTGGTTCATATTTATGACTTGCTGTGCCCCAAAGTCATGTGATCCCCTTTTGTGACCTCACAAGCAAAGCCAATGGGGAACCCAGGTTCATTTAACAACGGGGTTACTAACTTATCAACTGCAATAATTCACTGAACAACTGTGGCAAGAAAAGTCGTAAAATGAGGCAAAAGAATAATAGAAAGTTTGGGCTCAATTGTAAGTTGAAGACCACCTGTAATATAAAATGATTGATGATAGAATGCAGATGATGGGCCCTTCAGGTTGGATGGCCCTCAACATAAAGGAAGAGCTAAAAGAATTTCAGAGTACTAGTGGTGTTTATGATGTGGCTAGATTAAAGCCTTCAGGCCATCTAGGTACTGTTGTTGGCATACAGGAAAAGAAAACCTGAAGCTGCAAAGATCGAATTACAGTAGGAACATGGAATGTAAGAAGTATTAGCACAGGGAAACTCAACCCAGCAACAGATGAAATGCAACAACTGCATATTCACATTTTTAGAAATCGGCAAATTGAGTTGGACTAGAATTCGACAACTTTGTCAGAAAAATCACATTGTTTATTACTCAAGAAATAAAAAATGAAGAGGAACAGCTTTTTACAAATGGAGACGAATATACTGTCCCAAGATAGTGTTGCTGAAGGAAGTCTTCATCCTGGTTCATCCAAGCCGGGGATAAATAAACAATATGGCGACTGCTTTAGAAAGAAGGTTGCAGTTTATTGAAGAGCCAGAAAGATGGTTCTTGCAGGAAAGAGGAGAGAAAAAGAAGGCTGAGCACATGTGGGAGCACAGAGGTTTTTATAACCTCTGAAGCTTTTTGTTTGGAATAGTTTCCTGTTCCTGTTTTAGGCTTTGTATTTCCTGTGTCATGTATTCTGACCTGAGTCTGGGTGTGCCTTTCTGGTATTCTTGATGGTGATGGGTTAATCCTATTATCATATCCTGCTTCCCTGGTGATGGGGCTAATGACTCCTAGAGTTTGGGTGGGGTATGCAGATTTTAGTTGTCTTTGTCTTCTTGATCTCCTAGCAGGGGCCTTTCTGATGGTTTATATCTGCATTTGTACAGGGCTGGCTTCTGCTTGGGACAGAGAGACTTGGGGGCAGGGTTGGTTTCTGCCTTTAAAATCCTTTTGAGGAAATATATTTTTCTGCCCTTTTAATATTTCCTTCTCTGGGGAGCTGACTTCCCTCAGGGTACATCACTGGACCAGAAGTTTTCTCTTCCGAACTTTTGGACTTATGCTGGAACCCATCTTCTCTAGAGAGAAGCTGCCTGGGGATGGGCTCCGGCACTATCCTGGGACACGTATATTCGTCTTCATTTGTAAAATACTGTTCCTTCTTCATTTTTTTAATTAGCATTTTAAGAGGTAGTCCTTGGATTATGAGTACTCATTCAGCAACCATTTAAAGTTACAATGGAGCTGAATGAGGAGTACTTGTGACGAATCCTCAAATTCTGGCTGTCACAGCATCCCCTCACTGACGTATTTGCCATTTGTGACCTTCCATGATGGTTTCTTACAAACAAAGTCAATAGGACAGGGGTTTTCAAATTTGGCCCTTTTATGACTTGTGGACTTCAACTCCCAGAATTCCTCAGCCAGGCATGCTGGCTGAGGAATTCTGGGAGTTGAAGTCCACAAGTCATAAAAGGGCCAAGTTGAAGACCCTGCAATAGGGAAACCAATTGGGAAGGTCACAAATGACTTCCAGCCTTTTTTCTCCTGAGGAGCCCCACTATTGTGATCCCAGGGATCTCATAATCTATGGCATCTTTTAGGATCAACAATCAACAGTAAAGGAACAAGCAGTCAAGAAATACCCTGCAGACTAGCACTTGGCAGAGTAGCCATGAAGGCCTTGGAAAAGATATATTGATGTTTCTATACCTACAAAATGGTCAACCCTGGCCTTTTTAGATCCTATGCACAAACATTTAGATTGAAGGAAGACAAATAATGCAAGTTAAGTCTTCTTGTAGCCAAGCTCAGTTACTGCTGACATTGTGGGTACATCCATGCAGTTTTCTTGTCATCCTTTTTCCAGGATGTTTATTTACAGTTTCCTAGATTAGATTACAGTGAGATTTCTTAGTGCTCTTTCGTCCTAGTAATGAGATCCAAATCAATCTACCTCATCACATCAGTCAAGAGTTAATAGAAGGTAGGGTAGAAGAAGGCAATCTATGTTATGGCAATTCTCTATAAATCAAGTTGGAGAAAATTGAAACAACTCAAACTATACTTTAATATATTTGAAACATTTGTAGTCTCTCTTTTTAAAAGCGAAGTATTATATAAAGTGTGTGTTTGTGTGTGTGTTGTGCCATGCCTCCAAGTCAGTTTTTGACTCCTGGCAACTTCCTGGACTGCAGTTTTCTTGGCAAGGTTTTTAGGAAATGGTTTGCCATTCACTTTTTCTTAGGGCTGAAAGGGAGTGACTGGCCATTTGCGCCTAAGGCAGGTCTAGGACTCACAGTCTGCTCTTTCTAGCCTGGTTCCTAAACTGCTCTACCAAACTGACTCTTTCATGTAAGAAATTAGAATTCATTTTGTTTGTTAAAAAAACAACAACTAAATGCTATAAATTTGAAAAGCTGGATTTTAAAGCTGAATTTAAAAGAATTCTGACACATTTTTTGAAAGTAGTAACAGAAGGGATGAATCATGACTAGAGAAGAAAATATGTTTCATTGTTTGAGATGTTGTCCTCAACTTCTTAATGAGAAAAGTGCTCCCTCATTTACTCAAAGCTTCAAGCGATCTGATCTAAATTCGTATTTTAAAGGCTTTCTTTTTCTGAATGAAGTTACTACTGCTGTTCCCATCTGAGAGAGGGGGCAATGAAATAATAATAGTAATCATCATCAACAACAATTGACGGGTCAGCTCATTGACCTAATCTGCCCACATTGCTTTTCCTGTTCACACCATGTTATTGATTCATTTTGCAAATTGTCCTACAGAACAGTCAGGCATGTTGGGTCAGATTAAAATCATGGAGATACAGATTCAAAATATGGTTCCCCTACAAAGATCAAAGGAATGACTGGGGTTTTGTGGGGATCCAATGGGAAATGGCCCTTCATATTTCTCTCCTTTCTTTGGAGAAAAACTGGCTGCCAGGTCTTTGAACCCACACCTGGGGTTTCAGGGTTGTCCTCCTTTTAAGTAACTTGGATGGTGAAACAATATGAGGGGTTTTTTTGTTTTGATTTCCTGACAAGAGAGAGGTGCTTGTGAGACTTTCTGCCTCCCAATGGGCAAATTCATCTTTTGAATGTTTTACATATGGGGGGGGGGAGATTTATTGCTCAACTCTGACAGCAAAATCCCTTGATCCTCAAAGAATTAACTTCTTTCTTTTAATAAAATCCTTAAGTAGGACAACGGAGAAGCTCTCAGCTTGATCGACATGACAGGGACCCTTCAAGCAGAAATAGCATCCAAGGCTCCATACATTTTGCCTACAGGGGAAAATAAATAGGGACTTAGGTGGATTTTCTGGCCAGCAGTCTTTAAAGCATGCCTTGTTTGTTTTTTTGCATAAATGAAAAAAAAGCAGATTAAAAAAAACCAGCAGAAAGTAAATAAAAAGGAGAAATGGAAATACATTAACACCCATTTCTAAAAAGAAGTTAATAAGGAAGATCTGGTCCCTGCTGCTATGCTATACCTGCTGCTGCAAATCTCTCAGGTAACAGGTGTCTGGTTCCCCAGTCAGTGTACTAAAGGATGACTTCATAGGGGTGGAGCCCAGTTAGACTGTAAAGGTGGCACTCAGGTGAGCCAGGTAAGAAGTGAACTTATGCGGGTCTCTTCAGCACGTCAGCTGTTCCTTGAAGGAAGCTGATCCTGTTGCCCACGCAACAAGCACACACACACCTCCCTGCTAAGCTGCTTGTATTATTATTTTCCCAACCACCTGGGCAAGAAACACGAGCTTGGAAATGGAAACCAAAGATCCTACTGGAAAAGAAAGTGTGGGGGTCAGGAAAAAGAACCTCACCTTCCTCAAGCAGAGATTGTACATGCTGGAAAGGAGGAAGACGGACACGGTGGTGGAGAGCAGCACTGCAGGAGACCACAACAGCAGCTCTGCAACCTTGAGGAGGAGCCAGTCAGACAGGAGTGAATACAACCAGAAATTGCAAGGTAAAATTGGGCAGGGGAGGGAGGAGAAGGAAGAATCCAGCTACTTTTCTTAATGTTTAGTTCAACCATCTCAAAGCAACGTGCAATGATGGCAGGTGTAATCCATATGCTTGGAAATGATGATCAGGAGGAGGAGGAGGAGGGTGTTCTACCTGGAAGATACTTAAGGCAGTTAATATATTTTTATTATTGTTTCAGAAAGAGCAATAAGATAGAAATACCTTGAAAGGTACTTAGTTTATCTCATTACACTGAAGGGGAGGATTTTAATTAAAGGCCACATTAACTTTGTTTATAATTATACAATTCTTTAAAGCCACATTTTAGACAGGTGCGAATTACCCTATTTTCACGTGAAATGAAATAATAGGAACTAAGCGGTGGGAGCTTCGTCTTGGAACGAGAAAAAGTTTTGCTTCGTTATGTTCATGTTTGGATCTTAAGTAAAATGAGAATATTGATTTTTTCTGTGCTTATGTCCCTGGGGTCACAAATGAAGAAAACACTAAGTTGTTATTCACAGAATAAGGCAAGTCCAAGTCTAACTGCTATAAATTTAAAATAACTGTATGTATAGACACATATATAGATATATAAGTAGTCCTCATTTACAACCACAATTGAGATGAGAATTTGCATTGCTAAATAATACTGTCATTGAGCCTCACCTGAATTTTTGCCATAAGCGAATCACACTGTTGTTAGCTGAATCTGACTTCCTCCATTGACTTTGCTTGGGAAGGTTATAAATGGTGATCACATAATTCTGGGACACTACAACCACTGTAAATACATGCCAATTGCCAAGCACTCAACTCATGATTACATGACCATGGAAATGCCACAACAGTCATAAGTGCATGAACCCATCGTACGTTTTTCAATGCCATTGTAACTTTGAATCCTTAAAAAATGGTCATAAGTTGAGAACTACCTGTAAAGAGAGGAGGTTTTTTTCTATTCCTAAAAAGGATTTTTCCTAATTCAGTATGAAAAGGTTAGACTATACAATAACCATTTTGGATTGCAGCCAAAGTGGCTTAAATAATAGTGTATGTGTAGCATTCATTATGCTGGTGGAATGTAGGTTATAAAACTACATTGTAATGCTGAACAGGTTTGTAACATTGCCCTAAAGCAACCTCACAGGAGCATTTTAGTCCCAGTAACAGTGGAATTCAGTGACAAACAATAGCCTGTGATGTAAAGCTCATCCTTTCTATCTGCAGAACCTTCATATAGTATGCAAACTGTATTTCCCTATATGCAAAGGGATTGTATTGTACTGACAGAGCAATTAGTCAGGAAGAATTTCCCTGGGACAAACCATTGCCAGATGCTTCATTTGTTAAGGCTACCTTCTGTTTAGCTACAAAAGAAAACTAATATTGGGAAAATAGTTTTTCTGCCCATTTCCAATTCCCAGCGGTAGTCAATATATACAGGATTTTCTTATTTTTATAGGATCTACAGTGAATCCCATTAGTGACAGAAAGGCAGGAAAAAACAGGGAAATAATTTACATGATTCTTGTATCTGTATCTCAAAAGCACAGAACTTCCCCAAACTGCTGAAAACAATACTATGGGTAATCACTGGACAGTCCCAAAAGAAGTAGCCTTTAGTTATTCTAGCTTTATTCCAGCTTTAACCCTTTTATTTATATAATGACAGGAGAATAGAGAAGGAAAATAGGACAAAAGGTGATCCCTCCTCTATTCTGCACATGAAGTAATTGGAGGAATGAAAAAGTATGGAGACCCTTTTGTTGAACAAGCTAGCATAGCCTACTCATATACAGTATAAAGGTATAAATCACGGTTTGCAAAGTAATAGTTAAATTCAAACACTGCACTGGGCTAAGGATAAACACTATATGGACATTTGTAACAAGCCATAGTCTTTTATTTGCTTTGATTGTAGAGTGATGTGTTACCCCATCCACTGTAGTTGATGGATTATGACTTAATAGTATATGTGAATAAGGTCAAGAGGATTAAGACAACATGTAAACTTAATCCCATTAGCATAATTAGTTATTACAAATATTTTGAGCCCCTGAAGAGAAATCACAGAATTTGTTCAGGTTCTAGTGAGGCCTCTGGATGAAAAACTTGCCCTGAGCCACATTGCCTGATTTAGACTCAGTGCTCCTTGCTGCTTTTGCTATCAGCCCCTCCTGTTGGGTTTCCTCATGATAGGAAATCTCTTGTGGTTAGATTTTTACAATCACATAACCTCTGGTTAATGTTAGTTGGACTTACTCAACTTATGTTTATATAGCACAATATACGTAAATAGTTCTAACCAGATTTGGCAACATTCTCAGCTTCATAGTATAGGTAGTCCTCGACTTACAGCCACAATTGAGCCCAAAATTTCTGTTGTTAAGTGAGTTTGCCCCATTTGTTTGCCACATTTGTTAAATGAATCGCTGCAGTTAAATTAGTAACACAGTTGTAAAATGAATCTGGCTTCCCCATTGACTTTGCTTGTTAGAACAGAGGTCTCCAACCTTTCCGGACTCGCAGCCCGGAGGGAAAGAGAGCAGCTTCCAAATTGGTGCGCACACGCACACACACAAATGGGGCCACATGCAGTGGCGCGGCACTAGCATTCCCGTTCACGCATGCAGCATGTGCAAATGGGCCGTGCACAGCCGCCCAGCACTAGCGGCCCCATTTGCACCCATGTGCGCTAGCACGAGTGGGGGAAAATGTGTGCCCACTCATGCACGCACTGGCCAGGCATTTCCACAGGCTGCTGGCCAAGAGCCCACAGCCTGGTCCCAGGCTGCGGCCCATAGATTGGGAACCCCTGTGTTAGAAAATTGCAAAAGGGGATCACATGAACCAGGAAACAAGAACCATCATAAATATTAGCCAGTTGCCAAGTGTCCGATTTTTATCATTTGACCATGGGGATACTGCAATGGATGTAAGTGTGAAAAACAGTCATAAGTCACTTCTTTCAGTGCCACTGAGCTTCAAATGGTCACTAAACAAATGGATGTAAGTTGAGGACTGCCGGTAGTCTGGCATACAGCATTATACAATCCCAGCCATTTCTTAAAATTTAACCCATGGTTCCTTAGAGTCATGCATTCCAGGATTACACATAACGTTTTATTTATTGTTTCATTTATTTACTAGATTTATATCTCACCATTCATTCAGGAGCACAAGGCAGCACATAGAACCCTCCCATTTTCTCCTATGTCATCAAAACTTGGTTGAAAGAGAATGAATTGTATCTCTCAAACTCAGTCTAAAATCTTAATTGAGGGCACAGACCAGCTAGTGGAATAGTGCTACCAGCTGTGCTTTGGATTCTACTTAATTTCACATTAGTGGAAAAATATGAATGAACAATATCATTCCTAGGTTTTTATTTTTGTAACAACATGCTGTAATACTGGAATTTGTGTGAGACAACAAATTACCTTTAATTTCTTCATGTATATTCCCCGGTTCAAAATAAGTGTTGAATATTTCTGATGGCGTTGTTATTTGTGGAATATCCTTTCATTTTCAGATTTGGGAACATTTTCTCACATGTGCTGCCTTTCATTAGAATTTCTGAGATCTCTTTTCAATCAATTTAAAAACAGGAAGTATCTCAATAATAGACATTATATTGAAAGGTTAGTGTTGTGTAAATGGATGAGCGATTTAAACAGGAACTGAATCTACTAGTGTTAGTAAAATAAAATAATGGATTACTTGAACAGCTTTCCTCCTTAAGCCAATGTTTGCATAAGGCAGGACTTTTTTTGTTATCTGAGGCCTAAATAGATATATAGTGATCCTTTTTACTAGTTGCCATTCATTATGAGCAACATAACTCTCCTATAAATTATTTACCATATATTTTTTATTCATTGCTTAGTGCACCAACATTATAAAATATAAACCACTGGTTGATATGGTTTTTGGTTTTTTGTTCTGGATGGATCAAGTTACAACTAGGAGTATAACAGGACATATGTATCATAGTGGGAAAATGATGCTTATGTAAATATCTGTTGACCTTTCTAACCTTTTCATGTTAAAAGCTCTATTCAAATGTCATTCTCTTTGAGCTTTAGGTAATCATAGTTAATTAAATTGGTTAGTATTTTTGAAAGCCTAAAAACTCTCCCTGTTTTTTTTATAAGATAGCAAGAACTTATATTGTATAGCTTAGCTCCCTGTCAAAACTGATCTTCAAATATCCTATTAATCAAATAGACATACTGTAATACAGTTCTTAATAATTATATGAAATGAGATGGTAAGATTAAAAAAAAATCCAGATGAGTATGACTTGAAGTTTGAATTTGGAATAATGTAGCATCTATTTATACTGTAGCATCTGTCATCAGTCTAAACTTGATGTAAAAGTGGGAACTGAAAAATATATCATATTAATTATGTATTCTTTAAATGCAGTACAATGAAGGCAATTTACCATTTTAAGTCATAATGTATAATAAATGCACACATATGAACCACTCTTCAAGCCTTATGGAAAAATAAATAATTTTATTTATTTACTTAAATTGAATAGCTGCCCCACTCCAAAGGATTCTGGGTGGTGTAATGTTTATGTGATTTCACTGATTAAATACAAGTAATTAATCACTTCTCTGTATTTAATAGTGCCCTTCTTTCATCATGCAGCCGTAGGATATAGTGATTAAGGTGTTGATATAGGATAAGGAGACCAAGTTGAAATGTACCTTTAGCCAAAATTCACTGGATGATTTTAGCCAGCCACTCTCTTTTAGCAAAACCTACCTCATGAGGATGCTGTGGTGAGGATAAAATGCAGGGGAATCCTTGAGGTGGTGTCTCCTAAAAGTAACTTGGATATAACCCTAATGAGTAGATGAATGAAGATTACAACCGAGACGCAATTTTTGGAAAGACACTGTAAATTTTAGATAGTTTGTAGATTACGTACCTCTGTCTTAATCTGCATCCCAGCAACTGCATTTTGTATTGTTTGATGTTTCTAAATCATTTTCAATCATCCTTTTGCAATCCAAGAAGATTTACTAATATGTAGATAGGATTGGCCAGGAGAAACTATATTTGTTATGTCAGTTTTAGTTGGAAACTACAGGAAGCTTCAGAAGATACCCAACCCTTTAGTGATATCTAGTGGCCCCAAGACTGCAGAAGTGTCCACAGAATGTAGTAAAAAAAAAGTCAAGAAGGCAACAAGTGCAAACTTCTGCCTGTTTTTTTATGTGAAGCTGGAGCAATCTTGATGTTTTTGAACATAGCCTGAAGACACCCCTGCAAGACTGTAAATACAGTCCTGTATTAGGAGTTGGACCATTCTTGTCTGCAATATATTAAATAGCTTCTAGAGCAGAGTAGATGAACCAGGGAGTCAGTATCAAAAAATATCCCTGCCTTTCATGACTATGTTGAGATACTGTTAAGAAATGAATATTAGCTTAAGGTTATTCCATTAGTAGCAATTGAATGCTGCAGAGGCTAACTGAAATGCCTGCTCTTGGATTAGATCAGGAGTGTCAAACTGCCGGCCTGCAGGCCGGATGTGTCATGGTGAAACCGCGCCCACCCCATTGCCGGCAATGGAAAAAAAGTCATGATATGTTGTGACACATCACATGACATTACGAGTTTGACACCCCTGGATTAGATGGTCTTTTAACTATTTTTCTATCCAACTTATAATTATTTGAAGGTATAAATGGTTATTGTTGGCAAATATAGTATATAGAAAAAGATTTGCACTTAACAGTATGGAGATCCAGGTATAATTTCAGTTAATGATTCACAGTTTTACTCTATTATTATAAGAGTGAATCTGTTGTTTTATATTTTTAATTATTTTATATTTCTCTCTCTCTCTCTCTCTCTCTCTCTCTCTCTCTCACACACACACACACACACACACACACACACACACACACACACACACACACACACACACACACACACACACACACACATATATATATATATATATATATATATATATATATATATATATATATATATATATATATATATATATATATATATATAATTTTATTTTTTTAGATTGCTAACAAAGAATTAAGGGAGAATTGGAATAGCTATTTCAAGCTTCTTAGCTCTCTTCAGCCAAACATACCCTTCTGAGATTTGAACCTGGGCTGCTTGCACGTTAGGCAGCTGTGTTAACGTGCAAGCAGCCCAGGTTCAAATCTCAGAAGGGTATGTTTGGCTGAAGAGAGCTAAGAAGCTCGAAATAGCTATTCCAATTCTTCCTTAATTCTTTGTTAGCAATCTAAAAAAAAATGAATATATATAAATGATGTCGCAGTTGGCGACTGCTGCCTGTGGATGGCTCTAGATTGAGCTGATACAGGCAAAAGAAAAAGAAAGAAGATTTCTTTCTCCCATATTTGGGCCGACAGGGTGCATAAAAAAACAACAACACTCAAGGTACACACACACACACACACACACACACACATAATTAATTCAGAGATTGTTTTATGTAGTAACTTTAGAATTCACAACCCAGGTAGGAGAGACATTACCCATCAGAGCCCATCAGAAGCATTCACAATAAGGATATTATTTCATTTTTGATATTTTTTTATAATTTTTTCAATGTTCTAGAAAACATTCATTCAATCATTTAAAAGAATCTAAAGTCAAGGAATGGAAATCAGATATTTCCTGTAAAAGTTATGTGCCTTTTTCATAACTACTTGCAACACATGGTTAAACAAAAAACAAAACTAGGGTTTTGGATTACTTAAATAGGTATCAGTTGATAATAGTTGAGCAGTGTCAAATTCTCTAGCGGTTTGTGCAAGGTTATAGAGACTATAATGTTTCTTTGCCTGAAATACATGGGAAACCTGATACTGAGGGGAAACTTTCTCAGATGGCATAAATTTCAGCATTTTATTCAGAATGGAGTCAGATAACTAAGAACTATGTGATAGCTACTAAGCCAGAATTATCTCTGAATTCTATATTTTTAAAATACAGTTGAGAAATCAGAAGTTGCATTTCCCCTTAAATTCTCACATGTGCAAATCATTACCGTTTTTGATCTTATTAGTTCCATCAGCAGTTATATTAATGAGGTTAAAATCAGCCAGGTTTCCCTATTCTTTTCAAGCTTTGCTTTAAAAAGAACCTGCTATTTGCAATAGCTATTATTATTGATTGTAGGTCCCTCTGTTAAGGTGTTTCACCTATTGTGTTAACTCATGATATGGTCTGCTTCCTTCATTAATGCTGTTTTTATGACCATCATTATGAATTAGAATTATGTATAAATCAAGCCACTCTGTTAATCAAATCATGATTAAAACAGTCATGGCTAAATCTTTGAGTCAACCAGGAAGGGAAGAACCACATAGAACTGAATAGGAGTTGAGAAACTGGAGAAATTGTTGTTTTAAGTATATCCTGTGGACATCCCTGCTGACTTATTTTCAAATGTTTAATTTATGCAATACAAAATAAGACCTTCTCTTTGACAATAGGGGTTTCTCATTTATACTACTTGTGCTTTATAAAGTAACATAAAGAAAATATTTTTCTGTACTGAAAAATATAAATTCAGATTGGAGGGGAAACAAAAAATGGAAGGAGGAAAGAGAGAAACAACGTATTGAGGATATTAATTCAGGTAGATAAACCTGGATGTTCATTTCACTTAATGAAGACTAAAGTGTTAAGTTCAAGTAAGTGTATAAAAATAATATTGAATATCCTGAGTATTGTTTCGAATTATTAGAGCAGAAAGATCAGTATAACATACGCTCAGGAAAGAAAAGAAAGGTAAGATTAGCTTACATTTCATGAGACTGTAGCCATAAATGTGTCCAGCTAGTCCTCATTTAACAATCACAATTGGGACTGATCACTTGGTTGTTAAGTGAAGCGGGCATTAAGTGAAACAGCAACTGTCCTTGTGATCTTACTTCAGCTTTCCTTTGCAGATCTGTGAGAGTTGTAAATGTGATGATTGGTCATAAAGTTACTTTTTCATCATTGTTACAACTGCAAAGAATCACTAAATGAGGCAGCCACTAAATGAGGACTACCTGTACTTATCTTTAAATTCAGAAACATCTGTTTTGTCCATATGAAAGTTCCTATTAAATATATACAGCCAAACCATGTTTTCATTAACCATGTTTTATGGAATAATACCCAAGTAGTTAGGATCTCATGGCACATTATGCTATGGCATAATTCATGGTCTGCAAGTTGTAGTACCTGATGATCCTAATCAAAGAAAACCAGAATGTGGCTTACTGCTACGTATAACTAAGACAATAAACATGTTTGTACAGTGTGCTATATCCAAGCTGGGCAAGCCACTAGATCACATTCATGACCATTGATAGAATATCAGCTGCAAACTTCTGGATTTGTGTGCTGTTCCCATGTGCAGCTGTTCCTTTTTGTGGGTCATTTAGCCCTAAACAAGTTGTTAACCTATTTTTTAAACAAAGGTTTGTTTGTTTGTTTGTTTACAGAAAAGATGGCGCCCCATGCAGGATCTGTAGGACCAGTTGGTTTACCCCTGGAAACTGAAGAACAACTCATTAAGCGAATGATGGCCAGAAGGCAAAAGATAATTGCAGAAATACTCCAAACAGAAAGAGATTATCTTAGTGATCTGGAATTCTGCATCAGAATAGTGGTTGAGCCCTTGAAAAAAAGGCAGGTAAGAAAGTTTTAGTCTTTCCTTCCTTCCTTCCTTCCTTCCTTCCTTCCTTCCTTCCTTCCTTCCTTCCTTCCTTCCTTCCCTTTTGCTCTTTTTCTCACTTAATCTGAGAAAAGCTGGATGCAATTGCTAGTTTACTTCCAGGTCCATTTCAAAGTGTTGGTCATTATCTTTAAAGCCCTTTATGGCATGGGCCCAGAATATCTGAGGAACTGGCTTACCCCATCATTTGTCTCATTCATTCCAATGAAAAGGGCCCACTTTGGATCATGTTAGCCAACAATGTGAAATTAATGATAAATGTATGTTCAGTCAGTCGTGTGTACCCAGGAAACGGAACATTCAGTTAATCAGTGGTGTGTCATGCAAAATGCATGTGCACATGTAACATCTCTGCTACCTGAGTTGTACTAGGTGCCAGTTTGCTTTTGAGTCCAATTCAAGCTGTTGATCATCACCTTTAAAGCTCTTCAGAGCAAAGGGGCCAGGTTACCTGGGGGAACATATCATCCCAACTATATTAACCCATCCCACCCAGTCAAGCAGGGACGTAATGTTTCATATCCCATTTGTCAAGGAGTTTCAACTGGCAGAACCAGTTGAGCCAGGAGGAGGGCCTTCTCTGCTGTTATCCCTGTTCTTCAGAAATTTTACCCTCAGAGGTGAGCCCCCAATCTTCTGAAGTGTGATGCAGCCCTGGGGACAGCTGGTGGCTTGAGGGCATTCCCACTCTTGCTAACTTTTTAGCCTTCTGAATTTTTAACTTTGACTTTCACTTCAAGCTTATAAGTTTTAGCTTTTTATCTGTGTTTTTGTTCAGGTTTTATATTATTTTATTATGTTGTTGTAAACCACCCAGAGTCATTTAGTTGAGGTGGGCAGCCTAGAAATTTAATAAATAAAGCCAGAGAGACATAGAGGCTGTATTTGCACATGCAGATAGCTAATAATATTTTACAGTAATTAGCTTTGCAGACCCAGACTGCAGGGTACTGCATCTGAGACAGTGATGCTAATGGAAGTGCTGATTACAATTATATCTTTTCATGCAGGTTTTATTCTGTCAGTTTGTTGTTCAGCTGGCACTTCAGAAATGTCTGGCTACCACATACACATTCAGAGTTTTGTTTTTGAAGCAAAACAGGCAGTCTGCTTTATTTATTTATATATTTTTGTCAGCAAAAATCTAAATTTAAAACACACACACACACACATATTGCACATTTTTATTTTCTTTGCACAATTTATTTTTTTTAATATTAAATGGATTTGTATGGCTGCTTTATATATAGTATTGCAACAAAAAGGATAACTTTTCTATTTTTAAAGGATAGACCATTAGGGATTAATAATCAAGCAGATAATCTAAATTATTTACATTACCTTTAGTTTTATTATATTTTTGTTTGAGAAACACACAAAAGATAGGAAAACTTTCTTTGCTATGAGGGAGAGGGAGAATAGTTGCCATTCCCCAACCTTGTGTTTCTTAGTTGCATTGCCCTTCAGCCTCCATAATCTTCCAGCCAGATTTTGACTTCATTGCTTAAAAAAAATAATGAAGACTGATCTATACATATCCTGCCGTGAAGATATATCAGCTGAAAATGTTTGTATTTATATTTGTTTTACATATAAATGTAAAATGTAGTTATATTGTAATAAAAATTGCAATCCATTTCATCATATAGTGTTTAACCTGTTAGTTTAAAATCTTAGTAGCAATGTATACATTTTGGCTTATTATATGGTCATCATCTATATATAACTATTTTAAATTCAGTTTTGGATTTTTTATTCCAATTGTCCTTTTATTTGAACCTCCCTTTTATCTGATCATAAGAAAACCCATTGAAAAGTGAATATGTAATGTGTGTTTCTGAGCAAAAGAATAGCTACAACAGTAGCATTCCATTTTTTCAGTTTTTGCCCCTTGTTTTGGCTTCATTAGATTGCTCGACTTGATGTGGATAGCTTATTTAGCAACATTGAATTGGTCCATGAAATATCATCAAAACTGTTGTCATTGTTGGAAGAAGCAACATCAGATGTGGAACCAGCCATACAAGGAATTGGTATGTTGTTGTCTTCCTGAACTCTACAGGGCTACCTGGAGCAATAACAACAACAATTGTAATAATAATGCTGCAATAAATTGCCCATTGCCCAGCTAGAGTCAAACTTACCTGCTTATTTTTCCAAACTACCATTCCAAGTACTGTAGTATGCAAATGAAAGATAGAGAATCAGGCCCATAATCAACTTGCAACATCATACTCAGCTAGCTTAATCTAGCTGGCAACCGTTCCTGTCAGACTTTCTTACTGATGCTTCCAGCAGCATATAATTGTACTAACTGGGTCAAATATCTTTTATTTTGGAGACTGGAAAGCCCTGACCCCAGGACGTAGGAAGGTCTTGTGCATCAGGATAGCTCTTACAAGGCTTTGTCATTACTAGGCCCTTCCTGATTTGTCAGGCTGGAAACAGTAGGCCTGTTTGCCAATTAATGTTTGAGAGCAGAGAGATCCACTTCTGGGGGGTGGGGTCTAAAAAGGCAAGACATAACAGAACATTTATGTGGCTCTGAACAAATGGATGTATTTTGTACTACTAAACTGCCATATTCCCTTTTTTGACCTCCTGCCCTGGATGTGGCTGTTGAGGCCTGTGTTTCATATTACTTGGCTTTCAAGTATGTTCTGTAATGGAGAGGGTTGCTTTGTAGCTCTTTTTCTTAGAGGATATGCAAACAGATCGATTGACTGGCTCTAGGAGTTTCCGTGATACAGGTGAGTGGACTGTATTATTTAACCCTTTTCAAATGAACCATGAGATTAGTTGTCTTACACTCTAAACCTCCTCTAACCCTGTATATTTGTTAGAATATATTCTGTTTTTCATCCAGGAGTTCAAGGCATCTTACAGTATATGGATATTTTTATTGTATTTTCATAACAACAGTGTATTTCCATATGGTAAGACTGGACTTGAATCTGGGTGTCTGCAGTTCCAGTCCAACACCTGTTACTATATCACACTGGGTCTGCCTAGAAAAAAAAGGACAAAGCTGCATAGAAGGAACATCTTCACATAGATTAAAACAAGGATTTTAAAAGTTTCCCAAATTGTGCTTTATTTGATGTCATATAAAGCAAACATAACTGACCTTCAATATGTTTCTGAGTTATAATATCTAGCATTCTTCACAGTGTATGATTTCACTCTGGGTTTTTTATTGTTTTTTCTTTTTCTTTTTTACCTATGAATGCAAAAGCTAGATAACTTTTTGATCTTTTAGTTGGTCCTAATTTATGCTATGATATAATTCAATATTATGTATATAATATGTTAAATCAGGAGGACGGACATATAACTAGAACACATTCAAGCAGTTTTCTTGGTATGAGTAGTGATTTGTCATTGTCCTCCTCCAATGTTTTTTCAACTTCTCAATCTAGCCTACAGTTCTTAGATTTCAGATTATCAAACAAAAGCAAAGATGAAGATTTAGTCAAGACTGAATAAGTGTTTAACCTCCATGAACATGCATGCACATGCACACACACGCGTGCACGCATGCACACACACACACACAGACACAAGCATAGGGTGAAGATCTGATTCAAATTTGACATCCAGATTATAATTAGAGATCTGAAGATAGCAAGATTTACTTTGGAGCATTTGAGTTTAAAGATGTAATTCATAAATACATCAACCATATCTATTGTGGAAAAGCATCAACATGTCCACAGCTGCTTCATGTAACCTGTAGCTTTCTGATTGTTTGGGTTTACATTATATAACGTTTTGCTTTGTCTTTATTTTTTTTGAAACAAATAAGACATAACAAATCATGATTTGTTGTTTGTTTTTTTTAAAGATTTTTATTATTTTTCATCATAAAAAAAAACATCACAAGTGTTACACAATGCTATATGAAAAAATCCCCCACCCCCCCGGACTTCCCAAACCTAATCCCAGGATAATATTCAGATATAAGTAAACAGGTATTAATATCTCTAACTCCACAAAGTATATTATTCTACATGAGTAGGTAAAATATTTTAAAAAAAAAGAACAAATTTACTAAAAACCTAAATTATATTCCACCACTCTATGCTTATTTTAAATATAAACAATCCATCTTCTCCATATTAATAAAAATTATCATTCAAGTAATTCTTCAAGTAAGCCGAAATCTTTTCCATTTCAGCAAAGTACGAAACTTCAATCTCCAGTCTTCCATTGTAAGTATCTATAATTTCATCATTCTACATCTATAAAAAAATCTTTTAAGCCCTTTTATGAAATTTACATCTTCAAATACTTATCAAGTATAATGTCAAAAAATTACCAGCCTTCATTCATTATTAAATCAGACAGAAATTCTCTATTTCAAAATAATTATCATATTTAAAATAACAATGTAATTCCAAAAAATGCATATCTAATTTTAAAAACATATTCTA